GTTTACCTGTCTCTCTACCATTCATACAGATTGGTAGATGGGAGTTATCTTTATCTGTATCTTGATTGAGTTTATCTTTACCTTGATGGAGTTTATCTCATACCTGTAATGGAGTTTATTTCGTACCTTTAGCTTGAGTTTATCTTGTACCTTGACTGAGTTTATCTCGTACCTTTACCTTGAGTGTATCATTATCTTTACCTCAATTGAGTTTATCTCGTACCTTTACCTTAATTGGTTTATCTCGTACCTTTACCTTAATTGGTTTATCTTGTACCTTTACCTTAAGTTAGTTATCTTTACCTTTACCTGGATAAGGTTATTTCTTATCTATATCTTGATTATAGAGTCCTGAAAATCTGTCCTTTACTGTTCTTGTCGTGAGTAAAGAATTGGAACACGTCAATAGTACAGTTTAGGTATTACAGTTAGGATCTCTTTTATCTTTCCTTCTACCAAGTGTATAGCTGGTAGAAGTGAGTTTTGTGCATATCCTCTACCATGAGTAGATCTGGACGTGCAATTATCCTTTACCTTTTGTGCATATCCTTTACTATGAGTTGGGATTGCATTTATCTTACTTACCTTTTTTTTAGCATACCCTATACCATGAGTATAGTGGGCTTGCTAGTATCTAGGCTTGTGCCTTTACCGATTGTGTGTTTTCCTACCGCTGCTAAATCAAGTAGGTGTATTGAATTATCTTTTAACTTGTTGTTGATATCCCGAACCATATATATGTTTAGGTTTGTAGTTTCAACTAGTCCTGAGTAATTAGGCCCTCATTGAACTCTATGGTGACGAATAGAATCTGGTCGCTCTAGTGTCAACGTTGGGTAAAGTTCATAAGACTTTGTTTGAATTTCGTTGTTATGAATGGTTCTTGGATATATTGTGTTAGGGGTTGTTAATACACACCTATAATGTAGTTTTAACGATGCTTGTTTTTACTAATACTTGAGAATGTAGATAAGTAGTGTTAAAAGTTAACTTGATCTGTAAGGTTATAGAATTAAACTTAAAATGTATATTTTTTTTTTATCTTTGGTTTATACTAAATTAACATACATTATCTCATTAAAAAAAAAATGTATGACTTCGTCTCATATTCTTCGTTCCATATTTTTATTTCGTCCTTGATTTTGTTCCAATTCCTGAGCCAATGGTTGACTGGTGAGGAAAATGTTCAATTTTAACGTATCAACGTTCATTGTCGACCCAGCGTTAGATCGTTCTGCCACAAAAAAAAAAAGTTCCTTTTTTTTTTTGTTGGAGATAAGGGAGAATTTTAAAAAAATTTATGTAAAAAAAAATGATTTACTTACATGGAGCTCGCAGCACGCCAACTCTTCCTTTTTATATGGAACTCATAAATGAATATTGATTTTAAAATTAATTATTACTTATTATTATTAAGATATGTATTTTATTTATAAATTAATTTATTCTTCCTTGCTCCAATTCCGTCACTTTAAAGGTGAACAATTTCACCGGCTGACGTGGCTGCGTTCGTTCGAGTTCTGACCAAAACTGATCGTTCCGTTTCCGCATAAAATCGATCTTCCTTTCCAAGCGATAACAGCGCGTGGGGAAAAATGTCGATTTCAAATCGATCGTAGGCGGGTAATAAAAATTTCTTGAGGGGTTTAAATTGGACTAGTCAGTAGCGTAAACGCTACACCCCCTTCATTTTTAATCACAACATTTTCTGCTCTAAGATCATCGGCAGGTAACTTGAAAACATCTGAAACAAATTTCAGTGATCAAAGCGTGTAAGTCAAAAACAATTTTTTTTCTTTGAATATGATGTAATTTCTGTCATAATAATAATAAAAAGAATTATTTTGTGTTTATCTTTAGTAATAATTTTAACATTTGATCTATTGTGAACAGAAAAAGCATAAAACACATTTCTGTAAGAAATTATTCCTGACTTTTTAGGTTAAGTTACTTACATGAATCAGATGAATTATTTCCATTGTTAGGCACATATTCTGATCCACTATCTGAGTAAGGATCATTTTCTTCTAGTTCTAATGGTAAATCAACTGTATTTTCACTCATTATTACCGATAAAAAGCGTGAAATAAAACATCAAACTGTGACACGCCGAGATGACTTACACTACTTAATTCAGTTTATTTCTGACGCTAAATAAAGTACCGCCATCTGTTGGTTTTACTGTCAAGCATTGACTTGGGCGTTTTGCCTGTAGAAAGTTTGAACTGTAAGAAGGAATCTTAGATACGTAACTCAATTTTTAGTGAAAAGTGACTTACACTGATTGGCTTCTGAGCCCTCCAATTATTGCTAGAATCATTTTCATAAAATCGACAGTAAATTATTTACTGGTCTATGAAGTGTGGGTATATTAGATATTACTTAAGCAGTATCACAAATTCCAATCTTCACACCAAAACAGAGTTTCGCAAATGCCACTGTTTATATATTCTTTTGCTGTGACCGTCAAGTCGGTAACGGTAATCTTACAACTGATACACTAATCATTCTTTGGCGAGGTCAAAAAGTCATACTATTTATTCGTCTCGATAAAGAATAATTGATTACCATTAATGATCTACTCGTGTATGTCGCTCATACTTTTTTCTAATTAAGACTTTATTAATTTTTGCACTGCTGACCTTGTTTCATTCTTACGCTGACCTATTATCGATAATGTATATTATCTGTAATGTGACAAAAAGCTAGTTATGGTGATAACAGCTTTTAATCACACTTAAAGTATTTTCTTAAAAAAGAAATTGCAAAAAGAAATCTTTATTGATATATTATTATTCATTTACAATGAATAAATCTTCTTATCTATTAATTGGTATCAAAACAACATGATAATAATAAATTATATGTGGTGAGCTTAGTGGACGTTCCTGTACATCTTAGGACTTATGATAATTAACGATATAATGAACAAACGTTATAGCCAAGCATAAAGAAATGCAAAATATGTAATATTAATTTTAAAAATATAATCCTTTTCGCCGCTGCCAGTATTAACAAAAATGTTTTTTCAATTTGGCTGTTGTCCCTGGTACTAATCACCACCCACGTTAAAAATAAAAATAACTTATTGTATTTAAGAACACGCTAATTTTTTTTAGTACAGTATTCATTTGATAAAAAAAGGATTAAAGAAAATTCGAATGTATCCAATAAATACCATGAGATTCGTCAGAAGAATAATCAAGGAGATTACTTACATACTCAGGGATAATTAGCTAAAACCTCAGCAAAACCTGGACAGACGATACTTTGTCCCTATTTACGAATAATAGACCGACTTTGTTGCGAAACAACGAAAGCTTTTGAAAGTAGGACTGACTGTTGCAAATAAAACGAAAAATAAAGAAGACAGAATAAGTGATGAAACAAAACGATTGATGGAAAAGAGACGCACATTTCTAAGCGAAGGAAAGCGAAAAACCAACGGTTTCAAAAATTCAATAAACAAATAAAAAAGGGAGTACAATGAAAATAAAGTAGAAAAAACAATAAAAAAGAACCGAGGCCTAAAATGCTTCAGGCCATATTTAGGAAAGCCTATAATCTCATTCAAGGATAAAGATGGAAAATAAATAAGAAAAAGAACGAAATTCACTGGAGTGATCCCATTGGCTGTTAATGTTGGTACCAAGGTATGTGTAGCTGTCCACTCTGTCAATTGGATGTTGGTTAACCAAAAGCTGTGTATTTAATATTTCGCGCTTACTGACTACCATGTACTTTGTTTTCTTCGTATTAAGATCAAGCCCGTGTTCTCTACTTATATGTGATATATGCGACATTATTCTTTGCAAACCGTCCAGACTATCTGCAAAAACTACTGCGTCGTCGGCATATCTAATGTTGTTTAGACGCATTCCGTTGACTAATACGCCTTCTTGTAGTTCTCCCAGCGCTTGCTCGAAGATATATTCAGAGTATATATTAAATAACACCGGCGACAGAATGCATCCTTGCCTCACTCCTCTATCTATGGAGACTGCCTCTGTCAATTGATAATCCACTTTAATATTGGCTGTTTGGTTGTAATATAAATTATAGACGATTCTCAAGTCCCTATCATCTAGCCCCACTTCTTTCAAGATGTTTATGTTTATCATGTTTTACTCTATCAAATGCCTTTTTGTAGTCGATAAAACAAATATACATATCGCAGTTAACATCCCTGCATCTTTGCATAAGCACTTGGACAGCGAATAGAGCCTCTCGGGTGCCTAAGGAATCGCGGAATCCAAAGTGCGTCCATGATACTTGTTCTTCGCATTTTTTATATATTCTGCTGTGTATCACTTTCAAGAACGTTTTAAGTAAGTGGCTCATTAGGCTAATTGTTCTGTAGTCTTCGCATGTCTTGGCATTTACTTTTTTTGGTATGGTCACGAAGGTCGACTTTAACCAGCTTTGGGGTATTTTTACAGTTACGTATATACATATAACAAGTATGTAATATATCAAAATATTGCAATGTTTTCAAATACAAAATTCCATATATTGCAACAATAAAGAGAGAGCGAAAACAATGGATGATGAAGAAAGAAAAGAAGTCTAGAAAATACAATAAGAAATTTACGTCAAAAAATATTATCTGATTTTGTTCCAAAAACAAACTCCAAGCACTTCACGAAGAGACCTTGGAAACTAAACAGATAAGCAACAATATTAATGAAAGAGACAACAAACCCCCACCAATATATTTATTCCAAATGGTAATGGTAACGAGTTTACAACGTAGTAAAACTCTGTTGCTTATAAGATATATTGCTGTAATATAACTGTCATATACAATAACCTATTTTGTAACATGCGAAGCGTTCGTCTAATTTAGCTTTTATCTCTTCGTATGTGACCACTGCAGGATCTAAATTGTTTTATTCTTTCTTATCTTTACTCATACTTGTGATATTTTTTAATGGTAATATTAGAAATATGTACTATTCAGCCATTTTTATTTTTTTTATGTTTTTTCTTTTGTATTTTAGTTATAGAAGTTTGCTGTAACGAATATGGTAATTTCCAAGAACGGATGGTATCTGTGATAGACAATGGTCGCAATATTTATAAAACTTACGGTAACGTACCACAACTAGAAGAAGTCGAACTCTCCGATAGGGTAGACAATCGAAGCAGTATTTCATCAATATCGATAAAAGAAGAAGTGTACTCGGATTTAAGTTCGTCAGATTTTAATCACGAGTCTAGCTGGTTTAGTCAGTTCTGGATCCTAACCACCCGATTATGGGTGCAGATGTGGAGAGATAAAGTAAGCGTACTAATTAAATTTAAGCCTCTATACCTAATTTTACCTTTGCAATTTAGTTATAAATTAAAATATAAAACTCGGACTTTATTCTACATTACAAATAAATATTGGGTATTCATAGCAATCATCATATCACTATATTGTAGACTTATAGAGCCCAAAACACCTGCTCCATCAAAAATATATTTCAGAAAGAAAAAACCTGCTAACAACTATTCTAATAAAAAAAGGATTTTCCATTGTCATTTATAAACAAGAAATTCAAACATAAAAAAACAAATAACAAATTATTAAAAATGATTCAAAAATGCTGACAAGAAGAGATTTAAAAAAACAACAAAAACATAGTATGTGGCTTGTCAGAAAAATTTAAAAAGGAATTTAAATAAATACAACACAACATTTAAAACAATCAACAAAATGTTATATATTTTTCCAAAAATCAAACCCAACAACACACATTAGGGATGCAACAATTTTTATCTGGGAGAAACTGCAAGATCATTGAGTATAAGGATAAATTAGTATCCACAATCAACACCAGTATCGATACATCTCCAATTTGAGTCAAAGCCTTCTTTAGAACAAATATTCATTGTGCTCTGTATATGGAAACTTAATCCATAATAAAGCACAGAGCTTTGGGCTTTGGTTCATATTTCCACCGGTCTTTCATCCTTCAATTAATTCTTCTTGGAAACTTTTACTAGAAACGCTCAAGTAGTTCTTGGTCATTCTGTATACATGTGTACTGTGTACATTATGTTGACAATGACCTTTTTAGTGTTCTATAGTCGATCAGTTTAATTTTCATGAACTATTTTGAGGCCATTTATCTTCTCAGGCTGTAGTTACATTCTTTAGAAGTTCTTTGCTGGCATTTTTATCTCCAATCAATAACAAAGCTAAGTATAAAGATGTTCACACCCTCTAATTCATCATCAATCGTTAATCTACAATTACCTCACTTACAGAGGCACACTTATTTTGTTTAATGGATTTTTAATTTAATTTTCAATGCAGAATATGCAGATGCACTTAATGACCAAAATGATTTAGTTGTTAGGGAGTAGTTGATGCTCTGTCGATATTATCTGCATATCTAATCATTTGTATAGATTGATTAAATTTTCTTCCATTTTTATACTAGATCTCTTGAATTACCTTTTCCAGTACAAGGTTAAATAAAAAGAGCGACAGTCCCTCTACCTAGCTCATTCTATTTTTATAATGGTATGTAAAGTACTATGTATGTATATTTATTTACTGCACTAAATGTTGGAAGCAAAGGCAAAAACAAATGCATATTATGGAAATAAGAGGTTTTAAACCAAATTTATGTTAAACGAAAGATAAGTTACGATAGTTAGAACACTTTAACGCCAAAATATCCAGTCTTTGTAAAGCATAGTTAAGTTGTAAGTTCTAAAAAGGAGTATGGGAAGAAGTACAAAGACCTGTGGAGACACTGATATAATATATACATGTCGGTGAAGATTTAATGGAAGTCAGGAGGAAGTGCAATTGAGAACTCGAAACGTTTAATAAATATAAAAAAGGCAAGAACCGACTGGTATCTTAAATTAAAGACAAACTACACTGCTACATGATTACTATGATAAAGCCATATTTAAAGTAGAGAAGATACTTAAACAACGGGAAAATTATATTAGGAACCTATTCGAAGATGATAGGATTAGTTTACTTACCTCCGGATATTACTAAGACGGACCCCTAATAACACGCTCTGAGGTAACACAATCCATATGATCATCAAAAAATGACAAAGCGGCAGATACTGATAAAACTCCAAGTGAAATATACAATATATTATAAATGATAGCAATGTTTTAGAGGCTATAACTTCATTTTCAATACCATTTATACCAGCGGACACCTACCTAATGGTTGGATCAATTCATGGTTTATACCAGTCCCGAACCATTGGTTTGTTAGGCCATTTATTGAATTTTTTTTAAAGGTAATACATGGCCGCATCTATAATAGATGCGAGGAATACCCAAGTGACACACAGTTTGGTTTCCGTAACGGGTTTGGAACGAGAAAGGCATTATTTGGGATAAACGTACTTGCTCAAAGATGTCGTTATATATCTGTAGACATGTATTGTTTTTTTATTGACATCCAAAAGGCATTTGATCGTGTTAAGCACTCTATATTGACCGAAGTTCTAAGAGACATTGGCTTGGATGGCAGAGACGTGGCATAATTGCAAATTTATGTAGGCATTTTTTTCTTCTTCTTTCTTCTTATATGTAGACTTTAAAGCCTGTTTGTTCTTTAATATTAGCCTCCTAAATTGTTTAAATTGTGGCACCATCTTCTTCTTGGTCTGCCATACCTCTTCTTTATCATTTGGTAACTTATTTCGTGCTATTCGTACTATCATATCCTCTGCCATTCTACTAATGTATTGGTTTCACTCCTATTTCCGTTTTGTCACCCATCCATTTGTCTTCTATATTGCATGCTCTTCTTATGTTTTCGCTTCTCTCTCTATCAAACATACTTTTCCCTGATATTCGTTGCAGTATTTTCATCTCTATTGATTCTAGTAGTCGTCTCGTTTTAGATGTGTCAGGTATTAGTCTTAGGATATCCGTAACTACTCTAAACCTTGCTTCCTGCTTTTATTACTTTCCCATCAATTTCGATTGTACATCGTAATGGGTATTTAGATATCATACATTTGGTTTTTTGTGCTGATATTATCATATTGAATTTCTTAGCTGTTGTAATGAAGATGTGTGTTAATCTTTGGAACTCGTCTTCTATCTCGGCGTTTAATGTCTGCATAACATAATATTTTAATTTCTTTGTTCCCCATTCTGTAACCATGATCTTTATGAACTGTTTATATTATTTCGTCCATTATTATATTAAAGAGAAGTGGGCTTAACGAGGCATCCTGTCTGACTCCTTTTTGTACTGGTGTACACTGTGTTAGACTTCCATTTATTTTGCTTGTATTCGATTATGGAAGTCGATGTTTTTGATGGTTTGTATAATTTTGATTGGTATATTTCTTTTATATAGTAGGTGTAAGACGTATTTGACTTAGATGCGATCGAAAGCCTTTGTCAAGTCTATAAAACATAGATATGCTGGTTTATTGTACTCGATGGCCTTTTCTATGATTTGTCTTAGTACAAATACGGCATCTACGCAGGATCTTCCGAATCTGAATCCTTGTTCATCTGATAGAGTTGTTAGTTTATTGATTTTGTTGGTTAGGACTCTTGTGGCGAGCTTAAGTGCGATGTTTAGTACATACCTTCTTTATATACTTCTATACCTCTATAATTGTTGGGGTTTTCTTTAACTCATTTCTTGAACGTTGGTATTATTATGCTCTTTCTCCATGCGTCTGTTATTTTATTAAGTCTTGTTAATAAGTAAACAATAGAATATAACACCGTCTATATATGTAAACAGTACCAAACTTAAGCAAGCCGAGCAAATTGTAACACAAAGAGTCACGGTGCAAGTAGATCCAGAATTGAGCAGGTCAGGGTCGTTTTTAGAAGGATGTTCAAGCTATTGTATAACAGAGACCTAAAATTGAAATTGAGGATCTGCCTACTTCTCTTCTAGGTGTTCACGGTCTTACTTTATGGTATCGAGTCTTAGTCTATGAATAAAAATGATCTAAATTGTCTAAAGGCTTTCGAAATGTGGTGCTAGAAAGGATATTTAAAAATTTTCTGGGTGAAGAAGATTCGAAACTCCCCAATATGAGAATTTCTAAGCAAGACTACAGAGATAATAAAAAGTATCAAGAAGAGGAAGCTGGAGTACTGTAGACAAGTAATGAGATTCCTCAAAAACGGATTGCTACAAAATATTATACAAAAGAAAATATCAGGCAAATGAAGTCAAGGACAAAGAAAGAATGTATAGTTGAAGAACTTTATCCTATAGGAAGACACCCTCCTCGGCTTGGTATGTCAAAGAAATTAAAATTTTTTTGGATCGACGGAATATTGAAATAAAAAGTATCTGGCCGTGAGAATTCTAAAGAAATTGTAGCGGTTGATTAAACCAAAATTCCAAGCGTCCAACATACCAGGTCTTCCAAGCAGGCTGAAACCCTTCTGTAGAAATTGTACATAAAACATTTTTTTAATTTAAATCTAAAAGGTGAAAACCTTCTTTCTCTAAAGAGAGGATATTTGATTATATTTAACTGATACTGATTTTATGCTAACATCCCTTTAAGTCAGCAAATAAATTTTTCATTTTTCACCTTTTATCGAAATATTATCGGTCAATATTTAATCTGTAGATCATTGGGTACACAGAAGTATCTAAGAGGTCTGAAAAAAAAAGAAACTCTTATAAACTTAATATTTTTTTATTTATTATAAAACAATAACATTTACATTTGTTTATTTCCTTTTTAGACTTACTTAGTAATGAGGACTGTCCTATATGTGGTCCTTGCACTTCTAATAGGATCACTATATTATGGAATGGGCCAGGATGGGTCAAAAACCATTTTTAATTTCGGTTTTTATTACTGCTGCCTTATATTTTTCATGTATATTCCTATGATGCCAATGCTACTACAGTGTAAGTATGTTATGAGTATTTACCGTACATTGTCCCTAATTAAGAATCTACACGTTTTATGTTTATGTTTGGTAAATAGAACTTTACTGTTGTCTCAAAAAAATTAACTGCTAATGTTCTTCAGACATTTATTGTTTATAAATGGAAAAGAAAACGTTTTATTGCAAAAGGTAATTTCTTATAACAAAATTTTATTTTAAAATAAATTAGTTATTAAATTGAAAACCATGAAATTTTATAATTACCTTGATACAAAAGCCAATTACGAATAAACTAATGAAGAAATTATGAACAGTTATAAATTCCTTTTGGCACAGTAAAAGTTTTTAGGTTAATAGCAAACTTTACTCACAAACTTGGTACGACTAATAAGATTTATTTTGAAATAATATCTGCTGTACAACAGTGGTTTGGTTAGAAATATCTGAAAAATTCGAAGAACGATCTAATCAGATTGATGTAATTCTTCTCTTCATCTTTATATGCCATTACCTCTAAGAAGATTGGCAATCATCACGAAACTATGCATCTTGCATGGTAGTGCTCTAAATAGTTTAATTGAGACACATCTGCAATACACAAAGTCAAATTATTATACAATGAGATACGTCTTCTTTATCGGCTTCTCTTTTTTCCGTATCTTTCTCTGTATTGTCACTTAAAGACGATTATTACGTTCACCTTTTATTACATGTCCTAAATATTGTCCACTCATTACATTTCCCATTCTCCTTAACACATTTCTGACACGATTTACCTAACTTTTTCCGAACATTCTTCTATAGGCCCAAAATCCGAGTGCTTCCAGTTTGTCTGTAATACATTTATTTAGAAACCACGCTTCCATACCATAATATAAAACAAAAAAAAACATAGCGTCTTGATAGTCTTATCTTTAAAGGCATTGTGATGTCTCCTTCTGATAAGAAAAACTTTCTTTACTTTATTAAATAGACTTCTTATTTCTCTCATCTTAACTTATTTCGCGTTGTCATCATGTTGGTTAATCGTAGTTCCCAGAATGTGTTCTTTTGTCACTACCATAAATTGTGTCTTGTATATATTCAGGGATAGTCCCTTATAGTAGCTGACTTGAACTACTCTATAGACCATTTGTTGCAGATTCTGTAGATGTTCAGCTATTAGGACTATATTATCTGCAAATCGTATATTGTTAATGGGTCCTCCATTTACTTTTATCTTCTTCTTCTTCAGGTGCCATCTCCGCTACGGAGGTTGGCAATCATCATAGCTATCTTTGCGGTTAATTCCTCCGTTAATTCTTTAATTATTTTTTCAAAATACAAATTGAACATGATAGGTTACAGTACACATCCTTGTCTTATACCCCTTCAATTTTTATATCATCGTAAAAATCATTTCCTTCCTTTAGTAGGTATGCTGTAATAATAGGATATATCTAATTCTGTCAAAAGCTTTGTTGTAATCTAAAAAATATAGGTATGCTGACTGATTGATTTCCATATGTTATCTATTATAAAGACTTCAGACATTACAATTTAATGTTTAATCAAGAAGGAATAACAAGCATGGATCACCATGATAATCAAGACAAAGAACTAACTAAAACATCAAAACTCCCAAACTAGAAAAATATCAACTGTTAAAACTATTTGACCTTGTATCTAGTTCCGTTCACGATTACTGGTGACAGGGTACTTATTATTCATATATAATACGTGTCCCTCTTTTAACTAGAACTTATAATAGATTTAGTTATTCTAAAAGCCTAGCCAGTTTTTTATCTTCTTCTTCGTGTGCCATATCAGAATTATCCGACGTTGGCGATCACCATTGCGAATTCTGCGCGATCTTCTGCAATATCGTTTTTCTTCCTACACCTCTACGACAATCTATTTTGCCTTTAAGGATCAGTTGCCATATTTTATATCGACTTTCCCTTACTATATGTCCCATATAAGATATTTTTCGATGTTTAACAGTCTTTAGCAGTTCTCTATCTTTCTTGATGCTCCTTAGTACTTCTTCATTAGTTTTCATTGTTGTCCAAGGTATCCTTAGCATTCGTCTATGAACCCACATTTCCAATGCTTTGATTTTGTTCACGATCGATACTTTTAGCGTCCACACTTCTGCACTATACAAAAATACGGACCAAACATAGCACTTAACCATTCTTTGCCTTAGTTCTAAATCGAGATGGTTATTGCAAAGAAATGACTTCATTTTCATAAAAGTAGTTTGAGTCACTGCTATTCTACGTTTTATTTCTATATCTGGATCTAGTTAGTCCGTTATCACAGTTCCCAAATATGTCATTTTGTGAACTTTCTCAACTTGGACTTCGTTTAATTGAAGCTTTGCATCGGGATGTGGATCACGACTAAACACTAAAAATTTGGTTTTGTTTGAGTTTATTGTAATGCCCATTTCCTCTTCTACCTCGTGAATACGATCAAGCAGAATTTGAAGACCTTCAATATTATCTGATAGAATTACTGCTTATCTTGTGCATATCTAATCACATTAAGTAGTTCTCCATTGATTTTTATTCCATATGATTGTCTCTTAAGTGATTTTTTAAATAACTGGTCCGAGTAAAGATTGAACAATGTTAGCGACAAAATGCAACATTGTCTGACTCCTCGTTGTATAGAGATTTTATTGGTGTAGTTATCTCCTTTTACGATACTTTTACGATACGATAGTTTTACGATAGCAGTTTGATTCCAGTACAAATTTTTAATGACACGAATATCCTTGTCATCTATTCCGATATTTTTCAGTAAGTATTTGCATTAATTTTACATGTTGTACTTTACCGAATGCCTTTTCGAAGTCCACGAAACACACAAATACATCTTTTCTTTGGTCACGGCATTTTTGTAATAGGATGTTAAGCGCAAAAAGTACCTCCCTGGTTCCCATAGCATTTCGAAAACCAAATTGGGTATTTTCAAGATTTTCGCATTTGCGTCTAATTCTTGTTCTGAAGTATTCTGAGGAAAATTTTAAGAGTCGGGCTCATTACGCTAATTAATCGATATTTTGAGCATTTTCTCGCATTGTATTTTTTAGTTATTGGGACAAAAATGGATTTGAGCCAATCTGCGGGAATCACTCCGGTGTTATATATTGAATTAAAAAGTATTACTACTTCTTTTATGTTATCATTCTTTATTAGTTTCAGCAACTCAGTTGGTATATCATCTAGACCACAAGCTTTTCTAATTTTAGCATTATTTATAAAGTGTTCTACTTCGCATTTAATAATTTCTGGGCCGTCAGTACAGTTTTGGTAGAATTCGGCAATATTATTCCTGTCATCTATAAACAACTCTTCAACTGATATATACAGCTGCCATTCTGTTCTTGTTTCGTGCTCATTTACAATAATTTTGTTATTATTGTCAACGAGTACAGAGGAAACTTGTTGTTTAAATATTTTACTCATGTCTTTTAGTTTTTTGTGCACGTTAAATAAGTCGTGTTTAGATATCACATCATCCATTTTGTCGCACCTTTCTCTCATCCATTTTTCTTTGGCTAACCTGATCTCCTTTTTATTCTTTTCTGCAGGTGTCTATATTCTTTTACATTAGATTTTATTAGTCAACGTTGTTCCATTAATTTCAAGATGTCGCCTGTCATCCATTTATTTTTCTTGATTAAGTTTTTTCTATAATCATTGTTTGTGGAGATTTCGTTTACTTGGTTTTAAATTCACTCCATGGTTCTTCTGGATCCATCGTTTTCCGATGTTTTTTATTCTATTGTTAAATTGTTTTTTAATGTTATGTTTTATGTTTATATCGTCAAAGTTCAGTTCATTGATTTTTGGTTTTTGTGGCTGAGTTTTTTCTCTACTCGATCTGATCTATTTACGATAGTTAATTGTGGTGTTTTCGTCTTATCTCTACTCGCGCAACTATCTTTTATTGCACCATCTTTACTAGATAACGTTGGTGTAGTAATTTTACTGTTGACAGGACTGCTTAATAAACTATCTATTTCAAGAGTTGCACAAACATCGGTGATAGAGTCACTCTCTTCCTTATGAACTTTTCCCATACGAGATCTCCATGTACGAATGATTATTTACGATCAAAATAAGACTGAATCTTACCTTAACAATACCTTTAAACCATTTATCCTTTTTCCCTTTTACATTTTTAACAAAAATCTCTTCCTACATCTGAAATTCTTTAAATTTCAAAGGATCACTACAATTTCTAGTCAACCGTATAGTTTATTCGTCGTCAATTTTGTTTTTTAAATTCGGTTTTAAAAGTGAAAATCTGTCCATTAGTATATTACCTATTATTTTGTTGATCGTGCTTATTAATTCTTTTCGTTTTTTTTTTTATAAACTTTAGGTGATGATATTCTGCTGTTAACTGCTTAATCTGTTTGCATTTTTCTTCATATCATTTCTCTTTCGATTCTCCTACCTTTTTTTATCTCGGTTTGTATAGTATTGTCTTCAGTGTTGTCTTTATTTTTGTAGGTTCTTTGTTTTACATAAAGTTCTGAGATTTAATTTTATTCTAAGAACATTAATATTACTAATAGCGAAATTAAATCAGAATTTTTGACTGAAACGATTTATAGAGCAAGAACAGAAATATTTACTAATTCAAAACATACGTTTAATATATATATATATATATATATATATATATATATATATATATATATATATATATATATATATATATATATATATATATATATATATATATATATATAGTGTGCTCAATATTCCTACGAATATTTATTTAAACATGTTTAAATAATATACACTTTACTTCTTGTATAGACAATTAAGAATGTAGTATCCTGGATTATCTATAGTATATAGTACAATTATTAGTATTAATATTAAAATTATAAATTAATACAAAATACAATTAGTATTACTATAAGTATATAATCAAGTCCAAAAAAGGCACTACTTACCGTATATTAAAAAATTATTATATACATTATGCCTACTGATCTATGTATGCATACTGCAAATTAACTAAATATACTTAACAACTTAAAAATGTTATTTTTAGTTCCTCGAGAAATTCAGTTAGTGAAGAGAGAACATTTTAACAAATGGTACCGACTCAGTGCATATTTCTCAGCATTGTCCTTCTCGACCGTGCCAGTACAACTTTGTCTTGGAATTGTGTATGTATCGTGTGTTTACCTTTTAACTGACCAACCGTTAGAGCTCCGTAGGATGTCAATGTTCTTTTTCATTTGCATCTTGACCAGTGTAATTTCTGAAAGTCTTGGACTTCTGATTTCTGCTCAATTGAAAGTTGTGGTAAGTACAAAATAATGTTATGCTATAATTATTCCAAATACTATAATAATAAAGCCATGATGTTAAAATAATTCTATACAGTAATCTTTAATCATTCAAAGATATCTCACAAAAAGGGAGATATCTTTGAATGCATTAACCATCGAGGAATTACGCTCCTAAATGCAGCGTATACAATATTCTCCAATATACTATATATCTCCAATATATCCCATCGTATGGCACCGTATGCAGAGCGAATAATAGGACAATACCAGGCTGGTTTCAGAGGTGGTAAATCAACAATTCATCAGATTTCAACCCTGAGACAAATTCTAGAGAAAACACTGGAATACGGTGTAGACACGCACCACATATTTATAGTCTACAAGGCAGCCTAAGACTCTGTACATAGAAGGGAATTGTTTAGAGCAATGATAGACCTAGGAGTACCAAATCAATTAGTAAGTCTAACCAAACTAACCCTTGAAAAAGTTGAATGCAGGGTACGAATCCAGGGGGAACTCACTGAATCTTTTAAAACAAATAACGGGCTACGTCAAGAAGACCCACTCTCCTGTCTACTATTCAATCTATCTCTGGAAAAAGTAATACGTACGTCACAAATCACAACTATATATATATACCCGGTATTTAGGCGGCACACGCCCTTCCGGTAGGGAACTATGGAGGAGTATTACCGAGCCGCAAGCCCTTATCTCTTGCCGTACTGCTCCACCATAGGCCGATCAGACACCAGCATGTTCTAGTCTAAGCCGCAGATTTATTTTAGAGTTTTAAACTGCTGCGTTAGCCTTTTTGTTTTCTGTACACCGACTTTGGGATCGAACTCACTTCCTCTGAACCACTAGCAGTGAAGCTAGTGAGAAATCGGCCGCCCAGCCTGCTTGTCTCTCTGACCGAATCTGACAAATCACAACTACCGGTTCAATATATAACAAATCTGTGCAAATCCTAGTATATGCTGATGATATCAATATTGTTGGGAGAACGAGAAACGCAGCACAAGAAGCGTACGTAGAACTAAAGAAAGCCTCTACAAAAATGGGTTTAATAATAAACACCAATAAACCGAAATACATGAAAATAGGTACGCAACCACAAACACTACGGCCACTTGTTATAGAAAACGACGTCATCGAAGCAGTTAACGAATTTGTATACCTGGGAACGCTCGTCAATACTGAAAATGACACTACCGCAGAGATAAACCGCAGAATTTGCACGGCTAATAGATGCTTAATCTTCTATAGGCTATTTTGAGCTTAATCTTCTTTTTAAATCTACAGTTTTATCATGAAATACAAAAGTAAAACTCTACAAAACAATAATACGCCAAGTCCTAACATACGGTTCATAAACCTGGACTTAAAAAAAATTAAAATATGTTAGAAAGTTTCGAAAGAAAAATACTAAGGCCAATCTAAGGAGCGGTAAATGAAAATGGTGTCTGGAGAAGACGATACAACTTCGAACTCTATAGAATATACCAGGAACCAGATATCGTAAAACACAATAAGATATGACGTCTGAGGTGGATAGGCCATGTGATGCGGATGGAGCAAACCGACCCAGCTAGAAAAAACGCTCCTTGATAGATCTATTGGTCAAAGAAGAAGAGGAAGACCCATAACAAGATTCCTAGATAACATAGATTAAGATACGAGAAATATTGAAATACGTGGCGATGGATAAACACGACTGGAAAAAAATTCTTGGAGAGGCTAGGATCCACACAGGGTTGTAAAGCCAAAATGATGATGAAGAATCTTTAATGTGTTGATTCTTGGAAAAAATTTTAACTATATATCTATTATCTAATATATTATTTATTATCGTCAGTACATTAAAATTTTTACCTGAACGGAAATCGATAAAAATCGATGTAAACACTTAATCTGGTATGTACATGTATGGTACAATGATCTGGTAAGGCGGTGTTTTAAATGTTGATGATCACAAAGTGCAAATTAACAAACAAAATTTACCCCATGAATAAAGTATGTTTGATTTTATTATAAATGTTGTTTTTGTGACTATTTTGTATTCACCCTACGATATAAATAAGAGACATAACATTTGAAGACACACTTTTATTTTTGTACTCTTTTGTTATTCCTATTCTTTACAATTAAAAATACATTTTTTCTTATAGTTTCTAACAGTATTCTAACTTTCTAATGCATATTATTAGCACTATCTATTGAATCTACCCTCTATCAACTATCACATTGAGTAATCCAATAATGAAACTACAAATTTTGAACACCCTGTAAATAAATGTTTAATAATTAATCATGAAATACATTTAACCAATATCCAACTATTTAGAGGTATAACAAATTTTATTAGAATTTCTTAAATAAGTAAGGAATGAGTCTTCGTTTAAAGCTTTACATTTTAAAAATATTCCACATAACTCAGAACCCTCTGTACATAGGTATAGGGAAACTGTACCTAATTTTTTGCTGACAATTAGAAAATGTAGGAGTGTCTCATAAGAAAAAATATAACTTTGATATGCCGCACTTTATTGGGACGCCTTGTATATTTTAAAATATTTTTAAAATGTAGCCCTTATCAACCTTTAAACTATAAATTTAAAATTTTTTCAAAATCCTTTACCGTTTCGTTGTAATCTTCCGTCCCGTTAGTGGTGACTCACCCTGTATATAGAGTGGATAAAAAAAATGCTACTCGTATAATCGTTTCTTAACAATTATCCAGGATAAATGAATTGTAAAATATTCTTTTTTGTTTTTAGAATGCTGTATTTATGGGTCCAGTGTCTTCTGTTCCTTTCATGCTACTAGCTGTCTACGGATTCGGATCTGGTTATGACACTATTCCATCTATAATAAAATTCTTCATGCACTTTAGCTACCTCAGGTACTCGCTGGAAGGGTTGATTCACGCTATGTTAAAAGATAGAGAAAAGCTAAGCTGCCCGGATACTGAAGAATACTGTATATACACAGACCTCAACTTCTTCGTAAAGGACATGGGCATGGAAAACACTATTTATTGGGTTGACGTTTTGGTGCTAATATTTATTTTAATTCTCTTCAGGGGTGGTAGTTATTATCTATTACGACAAAGATTAACTCCTAACAAAACATTTAGGGCTTTACAGTATATTGGAAGATTGGTTAAATCACAGTTTGGAATAGCACGATGATACGAGAATGTTAGTTTATGTTTTTAGTTAATCTTATTATATTTTAAGTGATATTATTACGTAGGATATTAGGAACTTGGGTAATTGTCTATTAATTTAAGTGATATTTTTAAAGGAGTCATTGTTATAACTTTGTAAAATATTGTAGTCAGAATTATTTTTTATATAGATTAGTTTTAAGTAGGAAATAACTACAAAATTATATACTTACCATTAAATAAAAAATATTTGTCGGTTTTATCTGTGACAATGATAATATTGACGCTTAATTTACATAATAGTAGTAGTATTTCGTTGTGCAAAGTCCTAGTGTTAAAGAAATTATTTATTTTTAACTTATCACGTTTTAAGTCTTGCCCAGTAAGTTAGCAATTATTTTCTTATTTATTATTCGAAGTAAGTAAAACATTTACAATATAAACAAACGAAACGTTTAATCAAGTAAAAACTATTAAAATAATCACAACTAGCACTGCCCCCCTCCCGGATAGAAAGAATAGTTTAATATTAAGACACCAGTGTAGAAAGCCAGGGTAATCAATCAATCAATTAGTTAGAACGTTCTACGCCGTCTTCTGGTTTCCAGTCTCTATTTATCTCGGTCGGTCCAAAGGTTTTCTTCAACTCCCCTCTTCCTTAAGTCTTTATCGATTCCTTCTCTCCGACTTAATCTTGGCTACCTTGCACACATATACTCAGTTTTCTGTATATTTACTTCTTTAGTTTAGTTTAGGGGTCATATATTCGAGGTCTTCATAGTCTTGGGCCATCACTATCTGGTCGTCTGCAAAACTTAATGTGTACAATATTGCGTCGTTTAGAAGAATTTCCATGTTTCCGCATTTTCCTTTCCACGTCTTCATTGCTTGCTTCAATTAGATCTTAAACAAAGTAGGAGACACGCAACATCCTTGTTTGAGTCCTTTGATGATAGTGAAACCCTTGGATACCTCCTAACCTTTCTTTATTTTACTTGTATTGTTCTTGTAGAGGTCTGGAACAGCCTTGATTAAGGTTACACTAATATTTCTTTTCTCGAGAGTTTCCCAAAGATTTTGTTGTAGCACACGATCATAAGGTCTTTTAAGGTCCACGTAGAGGAGATGTATTGGTTTATTTCGTGCTACTTATTTTCGATTAGCTAGGTAACAGTAAACATATGGTCAATAGTTGATCTACTTGCTCTAAAGCTGGCCTGTTCTTCAGCCTTCATATAACAGAATTCATCTTCCATTCTCTTTTTGATGAGTTTCTCGTAAACTCTGGAGATGGTGCTAAGGACTGCGATTCCTCGATAATTGTCACATACATCTTTACTTCCCTTCTTATCTATTGTCTTGAGAACCGATATCCTCCACTCCTCTGGTATACTCTCTCCATTAATACATTTTCAATAAAGGCTGGCTAGCTGCTTATATAATTTGCTTGTACCGGACTTGAGTAGCTCAGGTAGGATATTGCCAGGGCCTGGTGATTTTCTATTCTTTAGTGCTTGGCATACTATGGTATGAGATGATGTCATTAGTCTTATCTTATTAAAGAGATCAAAGTATTTTCCAGCTTTTGGTGCTTCTGCTAACTCCCAAGTAAGTGTTTATTATGAAGCAGTTTCTTTTCGAGCTTTAAAACCTTCAGTTCTCATAATGCTATATTTTAGTACATCACATACCATTAATAAACAATATAAAATCTTTAACCTGTGACTCTATCCCCAAGGATTAAAGTTTTTACTTGATATTAACATGATCAAACCGAGTTTGATTAAAATTTTCCGTATAGTTATACAGATTTATTTTTTTTTTATAGATGTACAGATATACGGACGACGAACAGTCGTCCAATCAAATCAATTTCCATTTACAGTTACTCCACTCAATTTTTTCTGGCTTCCTTATATTTAAGGCTAGGACAACAACAAAGTGATGTTAAATTTTAGTCTTTTGTACAACTTTCATAACAAAAGTCACTTTTGGAGAATCAAACGAATAAAAAATAATACATGGATATTAATGATTCTTCTGAGGTTTCTCCATAACACTCAAATATTATAGATACTATAAGGTCAGCTCAAACATATTTAACTTCAGAAAGTCTATAATGTCTTTATTTAGCAATTCATCTTCACAATTGTTTTCGTTGTGATCTCTCGCTAGGTAATACAATGTTGCTGTAGATTGGAACGATTGAATCTTTAGGCCGGTTTTCAGGCTACATCTTATTGTACGTTTTGTTGGATAGGACAAATCCTATACATTAAAACGTGGCATGTAAACAGCAAAACGTACGTCTTGTCGAATCGAAATGAAATCCAAGGTCAGATCGCATAAATGATGGGAGAAGCATAGTTTTGCGAGAACTGATAGGATAAAACGTTACGTGAAAATACATGTTTAGACAAGTCGTCCAATCTTGACTCAGTTAACGACTAGCTCCACTGCAGTTCGCTTCACTTTTCCAAAAAAAAGCTTAATATTGTCACGATTTTCTCGGGGAATTTATTGAATTATATAAAAGTTTTCCGTGTTTAGGCAAGTGAAAATAAAGACTATAGTGATAGTAATAAAAAAACGTCGCCTATAAGTTTTTTTTAGTCTTTAAAGGGTAAAAATGCTTACGTTTTATTTTATTCTTTTTGGTGTCCAAATTAAAGAAAAACATTTCTTAAACCTCCACCTATTTATAACTTTTTTTTTAGTTTTTGTTAGTAGTATTTCTGTATTAAAACTAAGTAGATTGCATTACAGGTTTTAGGAATTATTTGGCTTAAGGCTGGTTTGGATATTATAGTTGTGAACTCCAAGTCCTTGAGACTGCGTTCTGTTGCAAGATATCTGAGAGTTAATGTGAGTCTTTTATGGGGTGTAATGGCTTTTCTTATGCAGGTGTCTTGATTCAATATGTATTCTGTTACCAACTCTAGCAATTGAAAATAGGCTGAGGTGTCCATTCGCAAATAATTGCGCCAGTCATCTGGTTCGCCTCTCAGTTCTTTTAGTAACGAGAAGTGGGAATAATGGCTTTTTTCAGATGGCACTCTCTTGACCATATTGTTTTTTCTCTTTTCATCCCCTTTTTTCTCAGTCATAGTATCGTTATAGTTGAAAAAATAAAAGAAAGCAGCCATGTTTTCTCCATACTAAAAAAAATCACTAAACAAACGTAACACAACTCAAGACTGAATTAGAAATGAAGTAGAAATCGAACGGGAAAGCATAGTGTGTCTACACTGAACAAAACGTACATTTTGTGGTACGTTTTATATAACCCACAAAACGTACAAGAAAACGTAGCGTGAAAACCTGCCTTTAACTTTACACCCATTTCTATTGAATAAAATAGTACCCAAACCTTCTCTTCCATACATAAAAAGTTCTGTTACATATCTGGTTTTAATATGGAATTCATTACAGAAATTTTCTTCATCGATTGCTTAATGTACTCCCTAAAAATGGCTTTACTGTATAAATAGAATTTCCAATTAACAACCCATGTCTGTCATCTCTTAGTTGATTCTATACTTCCATTATTTAATCAATAGCACCAATATTTCTTTGAAAACGTTAATTAATCCATTTTTCTCTTATTTTATTTAATCAATAGTACGAATATTTCTTAAAAACGTTAATTAATTCATTTTTTAATTATTAAGATTATAATAACATTGAATGCCTAAACTAAGTGAAGAAAACTTGGTAGAATACCTACTTTTATAATCTTTGCTATAAGTTTACAAACATTAAACATCATATTCTTTGATATCATTAAATCTTCTAATACTGGATCCACGTCTCTCACCCTCAATAAATAATAATATTTAGGTTATACTTTTGATTTCGTGATAACCTACAAGATAATAACAAACTACAATAAATACAATTTATCTTACAGATAACTTCTTATTCCTTACTTTATTTGGCAAATTAATATTTTATATTTTATTTGTCAGATAAGTTTATCCATGTCAGTTGGTAGTTCAGATCTCTTTCCTAGGGGGCGCAAAGTGATTACATCCCAACTAACATACAGCTTTAAATGATTTCGTTTGTTAAATCTTATCTTAAAATTACACAACCAATATTTTTGGTAATTTTGCGAAAAAATTATTCCTATTATAGGTACATATTAATCTATAATTAATATTATTAGTATAATTAATTAATAATCAATCAAGAATGACTGTACCAAGTATGATTAAAATTTCGGATGTTGGTAGTTCAGATGGTGTTCTTTCCTAGATGACGTGTCACCCTACCGGACGAACAGTGTCACTTGTCGTCCTAGCCTTTTATATAGATAAATTATTATATTTATATGTAACATCGGCAGCACCTGTAAGCCAATCAATAAGAAAACCGAACGAATTTTCATATAGTTAAAAGAAAATTATAATGTGTAACACACTGTAATGAATTAATATAAATATATTTAATTTTAATGTGATCATTAAATGTGTTGCATTTCACTGTTAAATGTGATATTTTTCATGATTTTATCTTAACGACTACTTTATTTACAAGGCTCTTATTACCAATTGATTTAGTTTTTATTATGAAATCATATAAAAACCAACCTAAAATAATTTTTAGGCCACACATATACAATCAGTAATGTAAAAAACCAACTTAAATAAATAACTTTACCAAAGTAGTTTTCAAGAGTATTTAAAATATTTGAGTATTAGGTTTTTCATTTGGTATTTTCCTTTTGAATAATATTAGTAGCTTTACAATAAGAAACAAGACATGTTACTGTATTGTTGATATACAATATTTTACAATGTATATGACTATGAGATGCCCCAGGTAATGTGATAAACTAGATAAAAATGCAAACTACCAATATTTTATTCATGAAACATAATTTAAATACCAAAGCCTATTTTATGTATTAATTCTGATATAAAATAAAGTACATCCATTGTTCGAGAATGTTTTTTATTTTAACATCATTATCATCATCATTATCACCATCATCATCATTATCATTATCATCATCATATATTATTATAAAAGGGCCGGAACTAGTCGAAAAATATTTGTCTCTTTGACAATCCTCTCCCTCTACCTCATCGAGCCTTCTTAGCTACAAATAAACTGATGATGTCATTATGCCATTACTCTCTCCCTCTCTATCTCTCTTTAATCTTGACACCACGGATGGAGTGTAGTAGTTATCGTGATGTCGTGTTATGTCCGTCTCCAAAGATTTGTGTCTCTGGTAATTTCTTC